TTGCTGTGTCTTCTGGCCCATTCTGGTGGTTTTACGATCAAAGCGTGGTTCAAGTTGATTATTTGTTGTCGGTAGCGATCAGTATTAACGGTTTCACCTGGTTTTAGAAGCTCATAATACCACACCTTCCTGATCCCACCAAACTCAGAGCATTGTCTTCTTTCTGAAGTGATTTGGCCTTGCAGTTGATGTTGATGGTTGACCTGGATCAACCCATGATTTTGTGCGTTTGGGATTCTCAAAATAAATCCACTTTTCATCACCAGTCACAATTCCATGCAAAAAAGACTTTCTTTCGTGCCGTTGAAGCAACATTTTACTGATGACTTTTCGGTTTTCCATTTGTCTTTTGTTCAGTTGAGATAGCACCCATTTTCCTTCCTTTAAAATCTTTCCCATTGCTTGTAAATGATCGGAAATTGTTTGCTGAGCAATGTTTAATCTTTCTGCAAGTTGTTTTAGAGTTTGACATGCATCTTCATCCAATAATGCTTGTAATTGTTGGTCTTCAAACTATTTTGGTTGACCTGGATGTTCTTTGTCTTTCACATTGAAATCATCACTTTAACATGTTTAAGCCAGCGTTCACAAGTATCTTGAGATGGAGCATGTTCACCATAAGCTTCCCGAAGTATATGATAACTTTCAGCAGCACTTTTCTTCAAAATAAAGTAATGAATTAAAACTTCCCGAAGCCCTAACCAGTTTGGCTCAGTGGATAGAGTGTCGGCCTGCGGACTAAAGGGTCCCAGGTTTGATTCCGGTCAAGGGCATGTACCTTGGTTGAGGGCACAACCCCAGTAGGGGGTGTGCGGGAGGCAGCTGATCAATGTTTCTCTCTCTCATTGTCTCTCATCGATGTTTCTAACTCTCTATCCCTCTCCCTTCCTCTCTGTAAAAAAACAATAAAATATATTAAAATTTAAAAAAGGTTTTTTTAAAAAAGTTGTATGCCTTTAAAAAAAAACTTCCTGCAAATGCTCTTTTTTGGCATGAAATTTGACATTTTTAAGCGTAAATATATCTACGATGTTAACACCTTCAGAAAATTTGACTTATGAAGTTTTGAAGCTTGTTGTCAATACAACAAAATAGCATACATATCAAATCGCATATATAGCAACATATGTGTAATTCCATCTATTGAAAAAATCCGCATTATTAACCGGTACACCTAGTAAGGAATAGAAACCATGGTTTGGGGCTGGAAGAGTTCAGGGCCAAGAGATGGCATCAGGGAAGAAGCTAGAGCCTGGAGGATGGAGAAGACAGGTATGGGGGCCCGGAGGGCACTCAGGCAGTGAGCAGTTGGGTAGCAAATATGGGACCTAGAACCCAGAGCATAGGCCCGGCTGTGAGTACTGGGGGCACGCCTGGCCTCAGGCTTGTGGGGAGGATCCACAAGGGCCCTGGGGCTTGTTTGGTCAGGAAGGGGGAATGCAGCCAGAGCACCTAGAGATAGGTCCGGACACAGGTGTGGGGAGCGGGGTGCACACAGGGAAGGGCAACTGTCTCTGGAGGGGGTCCTCACCTCCTGGTCTGATAGGCCTGGGGACAGGACCTCACTTACCATCCCACAGTCAGGCCCCGGCGGTGTTGACAAGTGGGCCCTTCCCCCTGGCTGGGGAGCTGAGATGTGGCATTGTTAAACTGGAAGTGAGTCACCGAGCTTTTCCTTCCTTCTCTTCCTCTCCACTTTGCTTGTCTGCATATTCTCATACTCCCCCTCCCCCACCCTGCCTCTTACACACACACACACACCCCTTTCAAAATCCATGAATCATAAATAAGTGGTCTAGCAGCATACACTGGGAGGAGAGGGGCTTGGCTCAGGGTTCTGGGCCGCACACAGGTGTGGGAGGCTCTCTGACATGCAGGTGTCTTGAATCTCTGAGCTCATCAGTGTGGTTGAGGTCAGGAGGGGGTATCTGTGAGGCGAGCTGTGGCATCTACGTGTCTGTGAGGTTGTGGTTGGAGGAAAGTTTCCACGGGGCGGGGGGTGCTGCGCGTTCATCAGCTGGGGGTGTCTGTACTGTCCGTCCGTCCGTGCCGCAGAGGGCTGGCGAGAGTGTGTTTGTGCCAGAGGCGTGTCCGCATGGATATCCGCGTTGTGGAGGAGGGGGGTGCTGGGCGTGGAGGAAGCGCTTCTGTCTGTGTTGGTGCGGCGTTGGGGGTGTCTGTGCCTGACAGCCAGCCTGGCCTCTGACTCTGCAGATTGTGAAAGGACTTGGATTTGTGACTGAGGCCCGTGTCGTGCCCTCCAGTTACATTTCCTTCAGCCTGGCCGTCAGGTGGGAGATGAACCCAACTCAACATGGGTGGCTGTGGCCCTGGCCCATGTGGCTCAGTGGTTGGAGTGTCGTCCTGTGCACCGAAGGGTCACAGGTTCAGTTCCCAGTCAGGGCACATACCTAGGCTGTGAGTTTGATCCCCGGTCGGGGTGCATATGGGAGGCAACCGATCGATGCTTCTCTCTCACATCAATGTTTCTCTCTCCCCCCCCTTCCTTCCTCTTTCTCTCTCAAATCAATAAAAAAACATCCTCAGGTGAGGATTAAAAAAAAAAAAAACATTGGTGGCTGTGGTCAAGAGCAGTGTCACACTCACAGGGTTTCTCCAGGGGGTAGGGAAGTTCATCAGACTGAGCACCTGGCCTAGAAAAGGGGTGAAGTTAGGGCCTGGCTCCCTCCCACCCACCCTAACCCAGTCCACACAGACACAGAGCCCGGCAGAGAGAAGGGGCGCCAGGGGCACAGGGCCCGCGGGGTACCACCATGTAGGACTCAGCTCAGTCACCCCAGAGGTTGCCCCTCACTGAGGAGCCCTCCCAGCAAACCCTAGAAGACAAGGCCTCTTTCTCCCTGTGTCCCGTTTGTAAAAGGAGGACAATGATACCTGCAGAAAGGGGTTACCTGCACCCGTGGTGAGCCTGGAGTCATGGCCACAGGGAGTGGAGCTCAGAGTCCATTCTCCTGTCCTTCTCCCCCATCCTCCCTGTGAGAAACCCTTTAGTGTGATCCTCCCCTCGAGAGAGGGAAATGGAATGCAGGTCCTTTGGCCCTCTCCAGGGGGCGCTGACAGGCAGCCAGCACGTGCCTGCACCTGTCAACGGATTCAATGAGCAATAGATAAGGCAGGCCTGGGGGAGAGGAAGTGGGACTTAAGGATCTGTGTGATGGGGGGACCGAAGTGCTGTGGGACCTGAACAGGAGGATTTGTCTGTGAGATGTGTGACTTCTGTCACCCACTGGCCCTAGGAAGAGCTCCAGGGGCCCCTCTGAGAATTCAATCCCAGGCTCACGTGGACTGGGCCACGGAGAGGGTGGTCAGGCCGTCCCTGGACGCTTGACGAAGACCCCACTCCTCCTGGAATGGAGGAGGAAGGGCGATGGGGGACCTGCTTTCTCTCTCCTCTGTAGTCCTCACCAAGGCAACACTCACCCCTTAGAGCCCCTCAAGGAGTTGAAAATCCCCTACTTCAGCCCCAGGAGGTGGCAGCAGACAAGGTGAAGGGACCATCCCCCAGACTGGGCCCTGGAGAGGTCACTTGAGGGACTCTTCCTAACCTGGCTGCCTTCTCCTGGGATGTAGCCTGAAGATTGGGCTGAGAGGGGTAGGGATGGCGGGGGGGGGGGGGGGGGGGGAGGGAGGGCAAAGACACACCCCTCCACCCCATGTGACCAGGCTCCCTGTGTGCCTACCTGGCCAGGAGGGAGGAAGCTCCAGGTTCAACTCTGAATTCTGGGGGGTGGTCCCGGTCCAAGGAGGTGCTGCCTTCCTCCGGCACTGCCCATTCATAAAGGGCACTTGTGCCCAGGCAACTCCGCCCACCTGGGGCTGGGGGCAGGGGCCACGCTGAACACAGTGCCACAGTGAACGCTGGACAAACGCGCCTGTGTGCACCCTGGCTGAGGTGCCGGAGGAAGCGCAGTCGGGGCCGAAGTGTTAATGGGCCTCCTTCCTGCCCTGCCCAGCCAGCTCCTCGGTGCTCATCCCCTCTCCCTGTAATGCCTGCTTCCGCTCAAGTCCCAGCACACTCCCTCCATGTCCCTGGCCACAGATCTGTCCTGCTTTGACAAACATCCCTCTCAGCCTTCGGGTTTATGGCTTTTCCGTGTGCCTTTCTTCATGTGGTTGGGAACCAACACTCTGGTCCCCTATGGGGTGGAGGAGGCTGGGGCTGGGCATGGGGGCTGGGCCGGCCAAGCCACAGGAGGGGAGACAAGACCCAGGAGGGAAAAACTCAGGAGGGGGCGCTCAGCAGGGTGAGCTCTGTCCTGAAGGAGGTCCAGGCAGCTGCTGGAGCCAGGAGGGGGTCCCGGGGAGGACACGGAGACCATTCCAGAAGCGGGGGTGGGGGGTGGGGGTGGGGGTGGGGAGGGGGGAAGGGTCACACCAGCCCACAACTCCAAGGACACAAGCAGAGTAACCTGTGGGCTTGTTTTTCTTTTTTTGTTTTTAAATGGAGCATTTATTAAGCACCAACTGGGACCTGTGCTAAGTAAGTCCCATGAATTCCTTAACTCATTTCATTCTCACAGAAACTCCCCCATTACCACCCCCGCGCCATTTTACAGATTACAAAACTGGGGCCAGAGAGGTTAAGTCACATGTGCCCATGTCACAGAGCTGGTTAGTAGCAGAGCAAGGATTCAAACCCCGGCCGAGTCCACATGTTGAACAAAAGCCACTCCACTATTTGCATTCTTGTCAGTCACTGATGAGCTTTGGCATCTAGGCCTGTGACTGCCCAGTAGAGAAGTTTCCCCCACTCCATGCAACTGGGCCAAAGGATAGCCTGTGGTGGGAGCACATGCGCGTGCACACACACGCACGCACACACAAATGCACACACACACACAAATGGAAGGAAGCAAAGGAAGGACATTTCTGGAGCATTTACTGTATGCCTGACACTGTGTTTTACAGGTTAGTGTTTTCCTTTTGTTTTTAGTCTCAACAATCCTATAAAGCAGATCTGACAACTCTCATTTTTACAGATGCACCTCAGAGAGGTTCAAAGGCAGAGCCAGCACCTAAAACTGACTCCACACCACCGGGCCTGATCTGTGTTCTGGGGGCTCCAACCTGCCGGAGAGAAGACTGAGGGGGAGACGGAGGTGCGGCCCAGCCCCCACAGCCCCAGCCCCAGCCCCAGCGAACATCCTCTCTGCCTGCCTTTGTTCATAAAACCGAAAAAGTGATGATGGTTTTCCTTCCTCTCTTTAAGAAAACAACAGAATCAAAACAAACAGAGAAGGGGAACTCCCCTCCTGTAGCTTTGCCAGAAATAAAAGGAAGAAATAGTTTCAGTCATGCCCTGCGCCACCCTGCTGCTGGGACAGGGTCTGGGAGAGGGAGAGAGAGAACCCCTCGTGAAAACCCAAAGCTTCAGCATCCCCCACCCCCGGTCCTGTCCTGAGCGCGGCCTGGTGGTCCTTAGCCCGTCCATCGCCCCCCTCCCAAGATCCCAGACCCTTATGCAGCTGCGAATTCCCAGAGGGCTGTAGTAAATCCTAAGGAAGGGCAAAGAGGAAATAGAAACATGCAGGTCCCAGAAATAAAAACAGCCCCAAAATGCACACCAGTCCCCACAATATGTACACCATGACCTCCCATGGCCAGTTCCTACTCAGGGCTCCCAGGTCCTGTCCCATTTCTCACTCTTGAGCCACAGGCACTGGAGCCCTCAGGAAGAGCTGTGAGGGGTCCCTTCCTTCCCAAAGTAAGGCTTGTCTGTACTTAACCACAACAATCAAAGTCTGGGCTAGCCTTGGGCTTGTGGTAATACAAAACACCCACCCCAATGCTGGTCACAGCCCTCCCATTTATCACAGAGATCGGCTTGTAGTTCCAGATATCTTGTGCTGATTGGTTCTCTGGGGGTGACTGGCAGCTGCAGAGATCTGCGCCCCCTCCCGCACTCCCCTCCCCCCCATACAGCTTGGCGGCCTTAAAGGCTCAGCAGTGTCATCCTCACTGCGCCTGCAGAAACAGGATGTGACCTCACAGGACCGCCCCATCAGCCAGCTTCATTCTTTGACAGAGACTGAAAGACAAGCAGCACCCCTTAAAAACTGCCAGGATGGATTAAGGAATTTGTGGTCTGGGTTCAAGGTCAGTCTGGAAATAGTTTTTCCCCATTGAGACTCATTAGTCTCAGCAAACACTAAATGAGTACTTAGTTATGTATTCAGAACTGTACTTGGTCCTGTGGGAAATGACAGAGAAGTCTCCCAGGGACCTGGGAGAGATGGTGGCAGAGAGATGATTGCACCTAAATAATTAGAGAGTAATCTAAACTTCTCTCAGAATTGTGGGAGGTTAGAGGGGGAAAGTGCATGAGTTCTATTGCTAACTGTTTAAGAATGACTGCACCACAGGAACCTGAGCTCTGAGGACAGAGACTGTCTGTTTCTTGTGTTCCAGGGCTGACATGTCCGGCACTTAGTAGGTATTCAGTTGTTGTCTAATAAACGGCCACTGTTTGAGCTTCCTTAGCAGTAGATGGTCAGAGGTCAAGCAAGGACTAGTCTTCTGAGAATAGGGCCAGGGCTGCTACCTCTCTGAGCAATCCCTTTGCTTCAGCACCCCCAGTGCCCCGATTAATCCTCTCTCATCTGATCACTAAGGCGCTCATCTTTCTTTGCTTTCTGCCCTTAATGCTATAGGCAGTTAGACAGACACGAGCAGAGCAAGGACGATGGGCCAGGTACATAAACTCACCAGGTCAGAAAGCCCCAGCTGCCTAGCAAGGGGCAAAACAAGAACCTGTCGTGTGGTTTCGGACCCCTGATCTTTCATATCGCTGCTCCTTCGGCTCAGAGCCCCTGGCCTTTTCCTCCCAAAAGATAACATCTAGGCCTCTGTTGTACTTCAGCTCCAGATCCAGAAAAGCAGCAAAACCAGACAAGTGGCGCCATGGCCGCCTCAGGACCAGCTGCATTGGCTAATGACCCACTGCCCTGACACAGACCAGTCACCACCCTGAAAGAGCACACCTGGAAAGCTGGTGAATCTTCTATTAAGACCCTCTCCTGAGACCTCCCCTGAGATTTACACCCACAAGAGAGAGATAAATACGCTCAGGATGAAGGACCCGCGCCTGCTCTTCCCCAGGGGAGCCATTCCCTTTCTCCTTCTTTCCTCTAAGGGGCCCTATGAGACTTGCCACCAGGGGAGCAATGGGCAGCGGCAGCTCATCCATGGCTAACCCCTGAACCTGTCTTCAAGGCCCCCTTTTCTCTGACTTCTCAGTGAGCCAAAGCAGCCCAGCCTGGGCTCTCCCGTTGCTTCTTCTGTGCCCTTCCTTGTTTCTCCGTCCTAAACATATTTGTGGTGTGGCCAATAAATTCTTACTTACTTTACTACACTTGGTCTCCTGATTGAAATCTTTCCTTCAAGAAGACAAGAACTGCCAGGCCGGTGTGGCTCAGTGGTTGAGTGTCAACCCATGACCAAGAGGTCATTGGTTCGATTCCGATCAGGGCAAATATCTGGGTTGCGGACTTGATCCCAGTATGGGGCATGCAGGAGGCAGCCGATCGATGATGTTTCTATCTTTCTATACCTCTCCCTTCCTGTCTCTCTAAAAATCAATAAAAACATATTAATAAAAAAAGAAAAAGAAGCGAGGTCTCGTCATCTTGCCAGTAACATTAATACATTCTCCAAGTGACCTCAGGAGTTACTGTGCCAAAACACAAGTCAGATTGTGTACTGCCCTCCCTCAGAAGCCTTTGTTGACTCCCTATTGCCCACCAAAGTCTAGGACAGCTGCCTCCCTCCCCACAACTGAAGTAAGAACAGTGGTTGGGGGCTCAGGCTCTACAGCCAGGCCCCTGGGTTTAGTTTCTGAATCTACCCCTTACTGGGTGGCGACCAGGACAAGTTACTGATCTTTCCCAAGCCTCTGTTTCCTCTCTGTAAAGAAGGGGTGCTAAGAGTATTCGGTCACAGAAGTTTGGCCGGGATTAAACGAGGTACATCCGGCGTAGGGACACACAGCAGCTTTTCTCGGGGCAATCCTTTTCCTCGGGATAATAGTTTTGTCTTCCCACTGGCGCAGGAGGCTTCTTGAGGGCAAGCACCATGTGAATGTTGCCCTGCATTCTCCCCCAGGTCACAGCTCACGGTGGTGTCATGATAGTGTTACCAGAGGAAATAGGTTCTTCCACGGTGTTACGAGCTCAATAGTGCCTGTAGACCAGAGGGTAGAGCCCAGAAAGGGGACCCAGAGGTGGTGGATTTGATTTCTCCCCTGCCACTCCCCAGCCCTGCACACTCCTACTCAGACTTTAAGAGGCTGCTCTGTCCGCCTCCTCCAGGAAGCCTGCCCTGATGCTCAGGTTGGATCAGGCCCCTTGGTCTCCCCACTGCACTCCTGGCAGGTAAGTCTTGAATAATGCACTATTAGAGAGTAGTTCTCCATTTAGGCAACTGACTTTGAGGAGCCGGTGCCCCCCTCCCCTTCTCATTCCTCTGTGGGGTTTGGCTCAGCAGCAGTCCAATGAGGCTTTGATGAACGAATTAATGAATTTGCTCTGTGACCTTGAGCAAGTTCCCTCTGTCCGGTTCTAACGAAGGGGAAAGCACTATATTTCTCAGATAAAGCAAAGAAGGGTCCTGAAGGTGGAGGGGACAGACACAGGAAAGGAATGGAATGGTTTGTGATACCCACTATTGGCCAGATGGGATCCAGAGCAGCCACAGTGGCTCATCCAGGGAGCGCCAGGGTAGAGAATTGCTTCATCCCCGGATGTGCCCCTGGCGGGGAGCTGTCCTACACGGGATGAAGGGCATGGTCCCTGGGCAAGGTCAGTTTTTAAAAAGGAGGTGTATGTTTCCAAGGCTCTTGCGGCCAGTAACCTGGTCCCGGCGACCTTCCCACAGGACCTGCCCCACCCTCCTGGCCATCAGCACCAGTGACCTTGAACCAGTTACCACTTATTTCTGGACCTCCAAGTTCTCCTCGCTACTGACCAGGCTCCAGGTGCCATCCTGGGCTGCTGCCAGGGATGGAGTCCCGGCTGGCTGACCCACCCTCCCACCCGCTGGGGTGTTGGTCCAAGGCCGGTTGGTTTCGGGTTTCAGCTTTCAGAGTGTTTTCCTGTCTAGGGCACTTTCTATTTTTCAATACTTTTCCTATCGCAGCCAAACAACAAAAAAGGAAATGGGTGAGCTTTCTAAGTGCCCGGAGGGCGGGGGTGAGCAGAACCCACCCTGGGAAAGGCCGGAGGCAGGGCTGGTGGGGGAGAGGTCCCTCTAATCCTTCTCCACCCCCACTCCCCTCCGCGCCAGGCTGACTCATTGTTTTGCAACAAACAGCAGGCGGCCAGGCAGCTTCTCCAAGTCCAGCCTTGGAGCAGGCTGGGTTCAATCCTGGTCCTCGCTGCGGCCCAGCCAGGCCCAGGAAGATTGGGTTATCTCTGCCTGCATCCCCTTTGTTGGGGCGGCCCCTTGCTTCACCCGGTAAACAAGCTCTGAGCATGTGAGAAAAGAAGGAACCCCGTTCTCTGTTATCTCCCTAGGCCCACAGAGGCCTGGGGCCCCCTGTGGATGGACGGGGCCCGACGTTCAGAGATCCCTCTTCCGCCAAGAGGCTCTGCCAGTGGAGAGGAGGGATTTCAAAGCACAGCAGCCAGGGACTGGTGCCTGGGTTCAAATCCCAGCTTTGCCACTTACTGCTAGTGACTTTGGGCAAGTCACGGACCCTACCCTTCTGCTCCAACCTCCTTATCTGCAAAATGTCTGGGTCGTAGTACCTACCTCATACAGTTGTTCTGGGCATTGATGAGTTCATATTCACAAAGGGCTATATATGTTTGTTTGTTTTAAAGAGCTCTATCTAAGTGGTGTTAAAAGGGGGAGGTGGGGGTGGCTATAAGTAATGTTAAAGAAAATAAACCCACCAGCCAAGGCCGGGCTCAGGCGATTTCCTAGCCCCCCAGTGCCCCACTCCCTCTCCTCCCCCCCCCCCCACCCCGCCCCCGAAGGCAGGGCTCCCTCACTCTGCATCCCTGAGCTAAGGCCATTGATGGGCCTCAGCAGGACAGGTCACCAAGGCCCCAAGCTCCTTTTCAAATGGAAGTTGTGCAAGGGAAATCCTCCAGGGAGGTAGGCGCCAGCCTGGGAGGATCTGGCCACCTGAGGGATTGCATGGAGAGGCTTTCGGTTTGCTGCAAGAACTTTGGAATTTCAAAAAGCTATCACCCTGGACAGCCCGCAGGGGTGATGTGGGGAGGGAGAGTGGCGGTGCTGCAAGCTTGCCCACCTGGGGCCTGGGACCTGTCCTGCCATGTTTTCTGGCCTGATTTCCCACAGATTGCTGGTTTCTTCGTCTCCAGTCCCAGATTCGGACCCTGGCTATGACACCTAAAAGCCGTGAGTCTCTGGGAAAGTTGCTTTCTCTCCCTGCAGCTCCTTTTCCTTGTCTGTAACAAGAGATCATCGGCCCGCCTTGCATGGCCGGCAGGGGATGAAGTGAGGCAACCAACACAGGCAAAGCTCTTAGAGCGGTTCCTGGGTGCCTGACTCCATTTGGGGCCGCGTATTGGGTCCCACCCTATCCCTACCCACTGGCTTTCTGCATCCTTTTCTGATGAGTTTGAGGACCTGAGACCCAGTCTCAGCCCTTTCCTTCCTGGGTCCCCCCTAAAGCGCCAATATTGCACGGAAAGTTATCCGTGCCCTTCAGAACCCATAGAGATGAAGGGTTGGACCCTCAGGTTTTCCCCCACCAGCATGTGACCCTGGTTCTTCAGTCAGGGTCCTCTTCCAAGCCCTGTCCCTCGTTCATTCACTCAGCAACTATTGCTGAGCACCCACTCTTGTGCCTGCCACTGCAGGGTGCTGCAGGCACAAGTGATGAATGAACTAGAATCTGCTCCCTGCCTCCAGAGAGTTATAGTCTAGCAAGAGAGACAAATATTAAATGCATATCCAAACACATAATTATTGAGTGCTGCAGAGTGAAGGGTGCTGTAGGAAAATAATATTCCCTGGAGGCCTCAAGAGAAGGTATCCTGAGGTTGATGCCGGACCTGAAGGATACCTAGGAATGATAAGAGCTGGAGGAATTATAAGTACAGGGAGAGAACTCTGTACAGACAACAGAAATACCACGCACAAAGGCCCTGAGGTCAGAAGACTTTGGAACTCATACTGAAAGGAGTCCATAGAGCGTGAGCAAAAGGGAGACTCAAAATGAGGTTGGAGAGAATAAACGGCAAGATCTGAGAGACCACAAAGACCTTGGGGAAGACTTTGGACCACTGAGTAGCTTTAAGGAGTGGGGGGATGTGGTTAGAGCTCTTTCAAAAATGTCTCCAGAGCTGAGTGGATAATGGCCTGGCAAGGATTCCAGGAGACCAGGGAGTAGGCTACCTTTCAAGGGAGAAGAGACGGTGGAGCTGGAGAGAAGGGGGCAGAGCCAAGACACACTTAGGGAGTGGGTACAATCGGAATTGGTGATAGGGTGGTCATGTCGGTGAAGGAGAAGGTATCAGATATAACCCTTGGATTTCTGATGTGGAAACTGGGAGGAGTGTAGGGCCAGTTACTGAGAGAGGAAGCCCTAGGGGAAAGGCAGATTTTCTGGGAGGAGGGGGAGGAGGAGTTTAGTTTTAGAGATGTGTGTGTTTGGAATATGTATATCAAGCAGGCAGCTGGATACATCCGCCTGGCGTTTACAAGGGAGGTTTACAATGAAAATCGGAAACTGTAGAAACGGAATTAACATGGGAATGGACAAGATTGCCAGGGAGAAAGTGATTAATAATAATCAAAGGGGACCAGGCCCAAGACCTGAAGAGCACCCCATTTAAGTGTCAGGTGAAATTGGAGCCTCAGTTTTATCATCTGTAAAATGGAGATGACAGTACCCACAGCTCACAGCATAAGGGAAGGTTATACTATTAAGTCATGGATGTCAGGAATGTGCCCAGTGCCTAGCACACAACAATTGCAAATTAATGATGGGTAGGAAAGCTGTGGTGATTCATTTAGTCTGCTATGTTCTTCATTTGCAAGTGATAAGAACTCGTTTTAGAAAATGAGTGTATTTGAAAGCTTTGGGATATCTCCTGCCATCAGAGGAAAAACTGAATCACCTAATGGAGCACAAAGGGCAGGAACTCCATCCTTCAGGAGACTCTCACTAAGCCTCTCATCTCTGCTTCCTGTTGAGATTGACGTCTTTTTCTCGCCGATTCTCTGACTTCCCCTACGTGACAGGGGACACAGCTGCCTGCCAGGCTTGCATTTCACATCTGGATGTTCCTTCCAACAGACCTCCCTCATGTTCATATTCTCTCTGACACCGAGTTAACAAAATCTCAGGGAAGGACTCTGAATGGGTCAGCTTTGTTCAGA